AAACCTCGGAGGCAGCCGTTTTTAACTGTCGATGTTGTAACCTGCAAAACAGCAGTGTAACATTACAGTGACAATTATCTATTTTGTTCAGAATTCGGTCAGCGAACATGTCCTTTGACGAAATGTACCTTTGGCTCTCCACTTTATACGAATCTCGACCGAAGGTAGTCAGCAAAGGCATAGGCAACTGAAAATTTCAATTCCGTTTTTCGACCGAACGACGACGTGTTGAAAGAACATTGAAAACAGACCCGTGTTAGAAACAAAGCAATTTCGTAATTCCGCTGGCAAAGCGAAGTCGTAAAAATTGTTTGAAATAAAGTAAGAGAACGTTTCGCGAATGCTTCAATTAATATGTATAATCCTGATTCATTTCGGTTGTGTAGGTAGTTTATAGGAGACTTTGAACGCGAGTGAATGGACATTTCCTCGAGTTACAGTAATATTATATTTTAATGTAACATAATGATGGCGTAATTCATTTAAGCGCACCTTTATAATGGCAACGAACGCCGCGCAGCGCCGGCCAGTCGTTTTGCTGCATGGTAATGTACGACCACATACAGCTGGTATAACAAAACGTACGATAATGGAGAGCACGGTTGAGATGTTCTCTCACACCCGCCACAGCATTCAGACATAGCTTCTACTCGGTTAGATTTGTAAATTAGAAAAAGATTTCGCAAGAACGTTGCGGCGCTCCGAGAGCCAAATGAAGCGATGCAAATTGATCCCTTGATAAATTGGTGGTCTGCGAACGTTGCAAAATTTAACAATCCCATGAACTCGATTAATTCAGATAGCTATAGACGTACATATTATTGCAGTGACGATTTTGAAAAATTCCGAAGTACAGAGTAAGTTCTCCATAATTCGCGATTGTGCACAAAAATGGACAATTTGGGAAGTGGAGAATTCGAGATTATTTGAGCCCTGCGGCTCGTTTTTATAGTTATCGATTGTCAACGACTATGCAAAATGAGCCGCAAGGCTCGAATAATCGTATCTCCTCTTCCCAAATTGTCCATTTTTTGTACGTAATCGCGAATTAGGGAGAATTTACTGTAATGAGTACACCCGCGGTAATAGCTTTTACCCTAACTACAGTTAACGTTATAATTGTTTTCTTTAATTAGCGATCTTTGCTCGATATTGATTTATTGTTTCGTGGCTTTATCTTTGTTGAAATAAACGCATGTTCAAATGTGGTGCCCCGCTGGCGTAGACGATCGACGAAAGGATCGAGAAATAATTCATTAAAGCTGTATATAAGATTGCAATTTGTGACAAGATTTACATATCCGAGGAGATAGAGAATATTTTACGAAATTTATATACAGAGAAAACNGCGAACGTTGCAAAATTTAACAATCCCATGAACTCGATTAATTCAGATAGCTATAGACGTACATATTATTGCAGTGACGATTTTGAAAAATTCCGAAGTACAGAGTAAGTTCTCCATAATTCGCGATTGTGCACAAAAATGGACAATTTGGGAAGTGGAGAATTCGAGATTATTTGAGCCCTGCGGCTCGTTTTTATAGTTATCGATTGTCAACGACTATGCAAAATGAGCCGCAAGGCTCGAATAATCGTATCTCCTCTTCCCAAATTGTCCATTTTTTGTACGTAATCGCGAATTAGGGAGAATTTACTGTAATGAGTACACCCGCGGTAATAGCTTTTACCCTAACTACAGTTAACGTTATAATTGTTTTCTTTAATTAGCGATCTTTGCTCGATATTGATTTATTGTTTCGTGGCTTTATCTTTGTTGAAATAAACGCATGTTCAAATGTGGTGCCCCGCTGGCGTAGACGATCGACGAAAGGATCGAGAAATAATTCATTAAAGCTGTATATAAGATTGCAATTTGTGACAAGATTTACATATCCGAGGAGATAGAGAATATTTTACGAAATTTATATACAGAGAAAACATCGAAATTATGTGGAGTGTATCTGCACGGAAACTCGCTTATGCGATAGGTGGCTGTCAGAAAACTATTTCATTTTACTTCTCTGCCTTGACATCGCATCGTTTCACACAGCTCGTCCGAATAGACGTCACCTTATTCTACTGCTCTGAGTCAATATAACTGCCATTCTACGTCTGTGCATCACTTTCATCGCGCATATATCTTGCTATGAATTCGTTAAACGCGCCGGTCCGAGGACTGACCTAATCTCTGCTCGTAAATGCCCATGCTACATCTAATAGACGAGAGCGTCCTGATTTTATTTTTAATATTTCGCGGAAATTATTTGGGATTATTGAGTTGTTAATATTAACAATAATAATAATATTAATGAAGCTATTAATGGATATTTGCATGACTGTATGTAATGTTATGTTTTTGAGAGAACGTGTCAGCGATCAGATGTTAATAAATATCGAGCACTTATACATCTTAAGAAGCATAAAAATTACGAAAGAAAATGTTTCGAAAATATTTGTAATGAAAAATTAACGAATAAAACACTGTATGAAACATATAGAAGAATCGATTGAGTTTCGAGGAGTGTAACGACATAGTTCGAACTACGTCGTGCGATATCTATAGAAAATGTAATTAATGGTTTTCACATTGCGTATCGTCGAATATTTGCAAAATATTCGTAACAAGAACTACGGCATGAAACCAAGGGCATGAAAAAACAATGAAATTGTGGGAAACATGAGAATTTGTTTATGGCGCAGTTAAAATAAAATATCTGCGCGTTGTGGAATTTCAATTTCAGTGACGCGTGAAGAGAACATAAGATTGCAACTCTGACATAAACGCGCGTGTACAAAGTGCTGCATTAATAGACAGGGGAGGTAATGTTAATTACGAATCTATAAAATTGAGCTTGAGCTTCAACTTGACGCGACAACGCAATTTAACTGTGCCGCGCATACGTTTGAATTTGCGGTCAGTTAACACTACGATTAATACGTACAGTATAATCGCACTTACAGATAATGATCATTAGATATTACAGTGACTATTAATGAATATGCTTCACGCGTCATAAATTTATATGGTATTGCCATAAATCGGACTACTATTGGCTCCGGCTTGAGAATACATTTAGTGGACATGCGATCACGTTGGCCACGTGTTCATACGAAGCCGCCGCAAGCGTAAAACCGCAATCGATGAGATTATGACAGAGCATATTAAAACAATGGTGATACGTACGACCGCGTACGAACCTTCTGATTTTAATCTTCATTTCATTACGAACATCGAGCGTAGAAGACATGCTTACGCGAAGATATAATGACTATGAAAATAATTCATTCAGCTGAAAAATTTAACATTGTAAATATTTCTTATTCGTATGAAGTAAAAAGAATATATTCATGAATAAAAAATGTTAAAAATTGTGAACTTTAATTATCGCTGATATTGTTGAATTATTTCAATTAGTACTATCCCAGATTTCCTTCATTCATTTCATTTTTAGGAGAGAGAGAGGACAAGTGAGAATTTCATTGCAGAAAATTTCAGTGATACTTTCAAATAATTAAATTGTAATAATTAAATTCCTTTTCGTTAAATTACAAGATTCTGCATCCACGATGAATGAAACGCTGTTGTTTCAGTATCTGTCCTCAATGAAATTGACCGAGCCCAGACTATGCCTCGAACAATGTTAATTTATATATTAGTTCGTGGATAAGTTTTATGTTTCTAATTTATTTGATCCGATGAGTAATCAATGATAATAATACATTTATTGTGAACAGGATAGCTGATATTTGACGGCGAACCTAACGAAACCTTGTGCATACAATATTCAGTCACGGATTAGAAAGGAAAGGTACACTTTCCGAAACTTTATCAATATTCGTAAAAGAAATTCAGCACTAACAATTCAGTAAATGTAATCATCAGATTAGAACATTCAAAAATTGTATAATAAAATTCTTTTGAAATAAGCAACATTTCTAAAAATAGGTAGTTCTTTACTATTCCAGAACTCGAGAATTTCTGTTCGTTTCACAAACATTTTGCTACGAAGAGAGACAAAAATATCTGATGATATCGGCACTTTCGATTTAATTCATATCTACGTCAAAGTAAACGTGCAATCTTAATTTGTAGCGACGTCGTCTAAAACCGTAGCTGCATTCCTCTGATTAAATTTCTCAAATTAATTTGCTGGAAAAGATAGAACATGAAGCGTAAATACACATTTGACAACGACGCCACTTCCATTTAACGAACGTTGATCAAACGTAGAAACACCAAAAAATATATTTCGCGTGCAGCTGCAAAACGAATCTTTTTATATTATCTTTCACGATCATTTACATATTATATTGTGATCAGATCATCTGTAACTAATATTCAACCGATTCTAAAAGATTTTGTTGCAAAATGCACAAAGAAGAACGGAAGTTTCATAGATATTAGTTCAGATCCCGTTCCGTATACAAATGTAACACTTTCGATCATACTTCACGCAACGATATTAAACGACAATGTCCGATTAAACTTTCGTTTATCTTCAAAACAACATTTTCTCGAGCAACATTGATCTAGTAGAAAATTATGGTACCGAAGTTCACCAAAATCCGACACAACGAATGGTGGTGACATCCGATAGCGATCGCGAATAATCTCCTCGAGGAGTGCAGCATGATCGGAAACGCTGCAATCACTATCATAGACGAGCTATCGTACGATTTGAAATACCGACATTATACCTCGTCTGTGATGTAACATCGAATAGCGATGAGAGTCTGCTTCTATGCTTCGTCTGTGCTGAACATTTTCTGCGATACCAACGAATGTTCACGAGTTAATGACCGACGACTGAAAAGGCTGCATTGCAGACGAGGTATAGGCGTAGACCTGATACCCAATGTATTGTCATAGAGGAGACATCAGGGTAGATTGATCATCGTATAGGGTTCCGTGTCAGAAATGTTCTGAAATACCGACATCGCTAAAAGCCAGAGGTTTTCTTGCGCCCTCTGCTGTAATAGAACAGTCAGCCACAGAATTACTGAATTACAGCTACAGAACTGCAGCACAGAAATTTCGTTTCTATTTTACAGTGTTGTCTGATCTAAAGATACAATGCATAATGTTGCACCGTGAGCTCAAGGATTTCCAGCTCGACGAATCATCGAGGCGAAGTATGCAGCACCAAATTCAGAAGAGATTGCACAACAGATATCATATCTGTAATTATAAGAAAATATTATATTATTATTATCGATTCCTATAAATTTTTCAAAGACATTGCTTCCACAAAAATTCGATCTTTTACATTTCTGTTCATTGCATTAACGTCGCGTCCACACAAAATCGCGTTGCAGTAGCTTGCCCTTCGACATTTCAGACGCCCATGCCGCAGCTGCAACCATCGGCCTCGGGTCCCAACAACAACTCAGATGGGCACATCGCGATTTTTTGCATCGTAGCGTCTCGAAACGAATTATCGCGACATTTGTCTCTTCTGAATGGATTTGGAAGTTAGCGTTTCGTCGAACACGATCGCGTTTGCTAGTTAACAAACGGCCCTCACGGCCCCACCCGTGAGCGAGCACCTGAGGGACCTCCGATCGGAGGAATAACAATTTTAACAATTTTCGAACGAAATAAATTCACACACTATTACAATACACACTATTTTACAATATAAAGTTTGCAGCTATTTGCTCGGTATCATCCTCGACCCAGAAATTCATTGCAATTCTCAATATTTCCTGAACCGAGGATGATACCGATTGCCCGGGTCTCACCGCGAGGAGGTTGCTGCTTTAGAGACCCGAAAGGGAGTCAGAACGAAGCCGGAATTCGCTATGGCTCCCTTTCTAACAACGACGACTTATAAACTAATACGCTCGCTAGCTAGCTATCACACATTCCGACACACTCACTCGTTCGCATATGTCAAGTACTATCGCGGACCAAAGTGGATCAAAGAAGAAGTCTCCGATCCACGGGGACCAAAATGAATCAGTGCAGAAGGCAGTGATTCTTTCAAAGTAAGAAACAAGTACGAGTCAGTGCAGAAGGCACTGCTCGAGGGTGACGCGACGCGTACAATGCTCGCACAAGACTGGAGCCTCACAAATCTCGATGTCCGGCGCGATCACATGAGGAGTGACGATCCAAAGTCGGATCCTCCCACACAGTGGGATGCCATTTCTCGCCCTGCGACCTAAAACT